CACGGAACTGCATTAGATAAACGCTGGTGCTCATCTTGCCGCGGTTTCTGTACGAATAGACGCCATATCCAACTGCCGACGCTAATCCTGCTAGACCTGAGAAAGTGAAAAGTTAAGATGTAGTAAGAGTAACTATTATTAAGCCTTGCCACAAATTGGTTACACACAATAAGTAGACTGGAGTGAAATTGGTTAACGAGACGTTCAGTACTAAAGATAAATAATGCGCATTCCAGCAAGCTGTGGTAGTAATCAGAACAATAGATATTTCATATTAAACATTTTCTGATAAAATTTGCCTAGTACTTGACGGAAACCTATGACTGCTTGTGACAGCAGAACAAAGCACATCTGCACTGATACGCAAACATGCACATTGTTGTTGCACATGTTTTCCTTATATTTTTGCACGATTTTGTAATGGTGTCGTAATAAGGGGAAGACCATATCACGAGTTGCAAAGCGTCATCCGTTGAGGAATGAATCACGTGCATGAAACATAAACTTGCTCTACAATTTGCAATTAGCCGCCAAATTAGGATGCCAATGAATACTTTGTACTGTGCTTTATTATCAGTTTTATTTAATGCATCTACGCTATTAATATTAAGACAGGATAAAGAAAACTATAACGAAATTTAGATGTGTGTAGCGTAGCCAAACTTTCATATAATACATGGGCAGAAATTAGTGTTATCCGTTTAATTATTTGTGTTTGAAAAGATAAGACGGTAACGTTTAAATTAAAATAAGTAGATTAATGCAAGTCACCGATCAAGGATGTGATGGAGTAGATATTTTTATATCTTCCACGGCGCAACCAACGTAAACTATTGCGTCACAATTACAGAGTTTAGAATCAGTGAGCAGCTGTCTAAGAAAATATGTATTGTTATCAATTTGGATTTCAGAACCTGTTACTACTAGTTAAAACCGCAATTTATTTTCACAATATGTGTTCATCAGTTTTCCAATATGATAACATTACGAGCTATATTAATGTTCATATTCATATTTATTAAAAAAAAACTTAAACTACATATCGCTTTAATTTACTTACCGAAAACCATGAAGGGAGATTCTTTCGATTTACGGGAAAGCCTTTCCGCGTGTGTTTCTTCATGATAATCGAAGATCGGGGCTTGTTGTGCCATTTTCTGTGAGATAAAAAAGTATATAAAACATAAATTAGATAATGTTAATCCTCAAAGTTGGTAATTAACACACATTTATATACTTATGAAAATGACATAGTCGTATAGGATTAATTCAATGGTATATCACTCACTTTACTACGAAGATCAAGGACACAAACTCACTATCAGCTGTCACTAACCGACAAAAACTAAATACTTATCAATTCGTCCCTCTGATATCAATTTCAATGTAAACTATATCAGACGTGCTTCGTCAATGGAACGTAAAACGAGACTAAAGCAAAAACACTAAAGTGCCCCTAAACTCGTTCGTGGAAATACCCGACAGCAGTTCTTGTATACCTTTGCATCGCAGTTTATACATACCTTTGTTGGTCTACGTAAGGGCCATTTTCCACTACTATTTACGTAACAGACTACAGGCTGATCGTCGTCCAATGCTGCATCAGTTAGACGCGTGAAATAAAAGCATAGTAACTGAGCATTGTATACCGTATAATGAATACAATAGGTTCATTCAATTTTTTTTATTACTTCTATTGTCTTTATTATCCTGCTACATAGCGCGTATCAAAATCTTTTATTGAGTTTCTTCGATAACATTTGCCATTCCTGTGTACTTACTTTCAGTGACATACCATTTTAATTCTTATATTAGTATTTGTCAAGTGTAACAAAACATCTATTTACGTCTGCTACCTAGTTTCTACGGATAAGAGTGCACGATAACATGAGATTCGTGTAATACTAAGATCTTTTTGAGTTACCGCGCACGCATAGTATGTCACTTGCTTTATTTTACGATTGCCGGCCTTCAAAAAAAGCAATGTTGTAAATCTTGATAAATTGCCACACTTATCTTATCAGTTAAAATTCTCATTGGAAACTGGAATTAGTGATAGACGATATTGGACGAAACAGAGTTCATTCAGTAGATATTGAATTTTGGTCAGCGGTAGGACACAAGTCTTGATTTTTTATATACAATCTTATAGCCAATTATAATCACTATTGCAATTAGCATTGACGTTAATTTTAATTTAAGATAACTTACTTCTCCGCCAGATGTCTATCGCAATCTTTATTACATTAGTTTTGTAGCCAAAATAATTAATTTTAACAAATGACGCGTTCGTACTTGCGTTCTGAAATATTTCGAAGGGGAATTATGGACAATAAAAAAGACAAATTTAGCGTTATTTAAATAAATTATATTTAGAACATAAATAGTAGAATAACATTATATTCTCAATATTTGGGTGATATGTTAATTTTAAACAATTGGTAACAAAAATTGTATGCTATACGGTTTTGAATAAAAATAATTGCGTTAGTGTTACATTACTATTGATATTGTTAATATTTTGGAATGTAGTTTTAGGTACATTTTATAAAAATAAATTGGATTTTTATTTAATTCTGTTGGAAATGTTGGTATATAAACTGATAAGAATTTTTAAAACTATTGTTCTTGAGTAAAACCACAGACCAACATTAATTACAGATAATAAACAATTCTTATAATTTTATAAAATATTATAAATGAGCTAACCAAAAATGTATAAAACGTATTTTTATAAGCACTTTTACTTTAAAAACCCACATAAGTTTTTTTTAAATTATGTACTAATAAATATCTATAGAAATAAACATCAAGAAAAACAACGAACGCGGGAATTATGAACGAACAGATACTTTATTTAATAACCAGTTTTATATACTATTTTTTTTTAAAAACAATAAATACATTTATTGACAACAATATTTTTTTTTAGAATTTCAAGAATAATAAATAATCTATAGATATTTCAATATTTGGAAGGCAACCCTAAACATGTTCCAAATTCCTAAACTATATGAACAAAAGTTAAACTCGCATTTTATTACAATTTTCTTTCACAATACTTCTCAATTTAGACAGAGTTAGAATCCTAATGAAAGTATAAAATATTGTAATATTCTGTTAACGTTGACATTTGCATGTTTAAAAGTATAATGCCTGGTTCACACTTGACCAGTACAGTAAGACAGTAGCGCAGGCAAGGCATAGCTTATATGCACTCATTACCACCATCCAGTGTTTACATTATGCCAGTTGAATGCTAGTTCAATTTTTGGACTCTGGCCAAGTGTGAACTATGTAATAGTTTTGAATTGTAACCATAGGTTATAAACAGTTTATACAGGTTTCATATGAGAATCTTGCGTTGGCAAGAACTCTGCGGGCAGAATTAGGGAACTGGCAAATGTGCTCAATTCAATATCCGTGCCTCATTGGTACTGGCTGGGAGCACTTGATGACACCTTTTCTAATTTCTCAAAATGTTTCCTCGCGTTACGAATGTTGATGAGCGTCGCTTCTGATGGTATCTTTGGGTCCGACATCTCTACCATTACGTAAGTGTTGCTCGTGAAGCCGTCGATGAAAGCTGCGAATACACTGTTCCGTACCTATTAGAAATGTTTTTAAATGTTTTAAAACTTTTTAAATAGCTTTGGAGTGGTTTTTAGGAACATATTCTAGATATTGCCAGCGATTTAATCTGAGCCTTCCGAAAAAAGATTAAGTAGTCTATGGTTCTTCCAGATTTATGATCTGTGGCAAAAATTCATCGAGCCGTTTTGAAGATACGCAGTATCAAACATCATCCAAACTTTCGCTTTTAAAATACTAGTGTATGAAGTTTGATTTATAAGATGCGAAAGAGAAACAATACTAGTAAACTAGAAACGGCTTTTAGGGTTCTGTAAAATAGATTTAGAAAGAGGGCGGATTGTTTTCCTGAAGTTGTTGATTATAGTTACTAATGCAGATAAATTAAATAAAGAAATAAAAATAATTTAAGGTTGATGTGGTAGGCAGGTGTTGGTGTCGTGTGGAGTATACCTCCATGCTCTGGAACTGCGCGGCGAGCTTGGAGCAGGAGAGCTTGAACTGCTTGACGATGTTTGAGACCTTCTCGAAGCGGTGCGCGTCGCGGTGCTGCCGCCGCTGGCAGTGGGACACCACCAGGAACGTCGCGCGCTCGAACAGCAGCACCTCCATACATATTCACATACATACATTTACACACAATCATAGACAAAAAAGTGTGGTGTTAACACATGGGGGCAATTTCTAAGTTAAAAATGAACTAGACACAATTTGCAACCTTTAGATCCAGGCTATTTAAATGCAATGGTGCCAAATGCTTTAAATAATTATCAGGTAGAATTTCATTTGACTTTTCTGTGTATCTTTTACTGTTAAAAATTATGTATTGGGTGTACAATGTTTAAAAGTTTTGATGTATAGCACGAAAAAGGTTGAGAAACACTGAGCTTGAGCAAAACTTGGCTAAATGGTTTTGCAAGCTTTTATGTCTTTTTATTTGGTTTAATGATTAAGGTGTAAAATTAACATTTTTTTCTTCTATTACATTTAACCTTCTATAAATACAGTTAAAAATAATATCTAATATGACAATATAAATTACAATCATTAACAGAAATACATTTATAAATATATTTGAGACTTTAAACAGATAATTTCAGAAATTTAAACATTTTATGGTAAAATATAGGGTTTGATGTATTTCTACAAAATATTAAAAAAAAGGAGTAAATGTATTGTAGGACTTACTTCATCTGCATCAACAATTGCTGCGAATTGCTTCAATGATGACTCTAGAGCTTTCACATTGGGTATTAATTTGTACACTATGCTGGACCATGCTCTGGAAAAAGATAATGAAATTTGAAATTTGTATTTCATTCTTATAACAAGTATTAAAAGGCAATTTTATAGTCTCTCTATAACATAGTCTAAAAACTTTGCTTTATAATTTTTTTTTGTGTTTTATCTATGTTAAAATAACTCTGTATAATTTTATTTACCTAGGGTGTAATATAACTGTTCTTTTATGTATATTTTAATTGGTATGCTATAACTTTTGCAATTTGATATGAAGAGTTCAAAGTGCATTTGCTACTGTGTAATAATGTAAACATTATAATCACTTAATGTGCATTGTCTATAAATATTAATGGCTGTCTCTGTACAGTGTGCATCTATAATATTACAAAGAGGAATGATTTGTATTTTGAAATAACTCAATAACTACTGGGCCGATTATAAAAATTGTTTTACCAATAAATAGCTACATTGTCAATTATATAAAGTCTACTACAATTTCATTTGAGTTATTCCAATTTATTCTAAGTTCCTTTGTGTCAGTAAAATGTCTTCATATGAAAGTGAATTCACTAGTTCAGGGATAGCAAACCTTTTCATATCAAGTCGTTATTCTAAAAAAAAAACGTTTAATAAAGTCATAAGTGTGACATCAAATTATTTTAACTTTGTGATTAGTAATGTCCCTTAGCATAGTGATCTCTCACATTTTCTCATCATAAGTACCAACTTTCAATTTTTTCATAATGCAAAATTAGTGTTATGTCCAAAAATATTGCATTGTTAGCCATTGGTTTGCCATCCTTGCATTAGTACCTATGAGATGTTTTAAAAGGCTAATTGTAAATATATTTTTAATAATTTTAAGTTCATGTTAATAAACAGAAGCTTACTTGTATAATGTTTCGTCCCATATACTAGTCCTGAAGCATGTGCATTCAAGTGGTTTAGAAAGACCTTTCAAATCCTCTTCTCTTTCTTTAAATATTTCTTCTCTTCTTTCTTCTGCTACGAGATCCATTTTGTGCACTAGACAGAATATTCTTGCTTCTGGAGAGTTCTGCAACACAGTTACCAATAACTTTAAAACATTGCAACAGTTATTTCATATTTTATTAGCAGAATTAAAAAAATAATTAATAAACAAAATCCGTCCTACAGGGATAGTGAACCAAAATTAAAGTATTTATCAAACTGGTTCAGTATTGTGGAAGCCTACTAAATACAAAGGTACAATCATTTTTTTCTTCTATTAGTATGGATAAAATGCTTTTATGTTAGCTTTAAAAACCTGTCATAATTTCTAAAGTCTATTATTTACCTGTAATATAGCTTCCAAACATGATTGATAATAATGCATGTCCTTCTCCATTTCTCTACTCTCCACATCAAATACATAAATGAGTACTTCAACATTACGGAAAATGTTGTCCCTCTGAGATGCAAAATAGTTTTCCATAAATGCCTCTTGTCCTCCACAATCCCACAAGTTGAGCACCAAATTGCCAAGAAATCTAACATGTGAGTGTTCTACATCAACTGGAAATATAAAATATACTATGAAATTAATTTTCAATCAGAAGTACCTCTGTTTGAGTAGTTTTAAACTTCTACAATCTTATAATTAGTGGACATACTCTATAATTGACTAATTAGTGTAACAATAAACCTTACTTGTGGCACCCAATCTTCTGGTATCCCTGGCTATATAGTTGGCAAAAATAATGGATCTCATGCTTGTTTTCCCAGAGCCACTCTTCCCCATTAACAGGACCTAAAATCGTTTTGTTGAGTTAGTATTCATTTTGGTAAAATGTCAAGTATTTTATATCACTTAGGATACTAAGTTTAATGTGATCATCCTTGCCTTTTTCTTCATGGTAGAAATGGTGTTGGCTAAGGGTCAAACTTGAATAAAGGAAACGCAAACTATGTTGATTTCAATTAAACGCTGATGTAACTTTTTGCTTCGCTCCTACGAAAACGATTTCGTCTTCTAATATATCTGTAATTAAAATATCTGTATACGTAAGCAGCTATATGAGTAGGCGTAGTATAAAATTCCTATTTCCTAATCACTAAAGAACAACGACAATAACCAACATCCAATATGACAGGTTTTAAATGACACAATCAAACAATAACAGCCCAAGTCAATGTCACAATGAATGACATATTATTGTAGACGTTAAAAAAGTACAATGTGATGAAAAAATATATATTTTTTTTAAATTTCAAAATAGGGTTTTTTGGTAGGTTGTTGGGTAGTTTTATGAAAAAACGTTGATACCATATTATTTCCCAAGTATTAGTGTAAACTTTGAATGGACAAGTACCATTATTTCTTGATGATTACCTTGTCAATATTACAGGGTTAAGATCCCCAACTTTTAGCTAAATTAACTAATAATCGGAAATTGGGAATAAACGTCACGATTTAACTTTGCATAAAACGAAACTTTTCTTATTTACACTGATTTGTCATCAAATGTCAAGTGATTATCAAATGTCAATGGAAGTTAAAGCGTGTGGATTTTTCCTAAATATTTAATTATAGTTACCAGCATGTTATTATATTCTATTTGAATTAATTCGATTTAGGGATCACAAAAATGGCCAGGCACCGTAACATAAGAAATAGGAGGGACTCTGACGATTATGATTACGACGACGTTTATGGACATTCCGTTGAAGAAGACAGCTGTTTGTCACCAAGTGATGCATCGCAGTGGATATATGATCGTTCACAGAACCATCATGCAATTTCAAGTTTCTTAGACAGCCATGGTGATATTCAGGAAGAGGCAGAGGAAGATACGGCAGAACAAACACGTCCACAACTAGAGCGACGTGAGTCCGCAGATATACGAAGTTTAGCTCTTACGGACGCTGACGAGGCAAAGCTATTATCGTGTTTGGATGAACTGAGGGATATATTAGGTGATACTGTATCTGAAAATGTGCTTATTCAAACAGTGCTTAGTAAGAAATTTGACTTGACAAAGGCTTTAGATGAACTCTTAAACAGAAATACAAACAAGGACAAAGAGACTGAAAAAGCATTATCAAAGCCACCGCCTGTCGTACTAATCGAGTCAGCTAAACCAGTTGTTGCAAATGTTGATAAAACACCAAAAGTAATTGCAATAAATGTAGAGCCAAAAGTTGGAGTTATAAAAGGTTTTAAAGTAGAAAAAGATGGGGGTTCTGGGAGCCGACCCCAAACTCCTAGAGATCAGTCACCGGCCATGGATAGGTCAAATCAAATACCTATCAAAGTAAAAGAAAAAATAGATCCTAATAAACAATATTCTACTGAGAGGGGCTCGGAGAAGGATCATTTGTACATAGTTGTAATTGGGCATGTAGATGCAGGGAAATCAACACTTATGGGACGCTTGCTGTGTGAACTAGGTGAAGTAAGTCAGAGAACTTTACATAAATATGAACAGGAAAGTAAAAAGATTGGGAAGCAAAGTTTCATGTATGCTTGGGTGTTGGATGAGACTGGGGAAGAAAGAGTACGAGGCATCACTATGGATGTGGGAAGAGCACAGTTTGAAACAAAGTCAAAAAAGGTCATTATCCTAGATGCCCCTGGCCATGCTGACTTCATACCTAATATGATAACTGGTGCAGGACAAGCCGATGTAGCTCTCTTGGTAGTTGATGCAACAAGAGGAGAGTTTGAATCTGGATTTGAACTTGGAGGACAAACAAGAGAACATGCTTTATTAGTTAGATCTTTAGGTATAAGTCAGCTTACTGTAGCAGTCAACAAACTTGACACAACTAATTGGTCAGAGGAAAGATTTAATGAAATACTCAAGAAATTAAAAACATTCTTAAAACAAGCTGGATTCAAGGAATCTGATGTCACATTTGTACCTTGTTCGGGTTTAACGGGTGAAAACCTTGTAAAACCACCAACAGAGTTGGAGCTATGCAAATGGTACAAAGGGCCTTGTCTTTTAGATGTGATTGATCAATGCAACGTCCCAGACAGACCAGTTGCTAAACCATTGCGAATAACAATTAATGATATATTTAAAGGCACAGGAACAGGATTTTGTGTTGCTGGTCGAATTGAAAATGGACTTATAAACAAAGGTGATAAAGTTCTTGTTTGTCCTATCAAAGAAATTGCTGAAGTTAAAGGTATAAGTATTAATGACTTGTCCAGTAATGTTGCATTTGCGGGGGATCAAGTGAGTGTCACTTTATCAGGGGTTGATATGCAGAATGTTGCAGTTGGTTTTGTACTGAGTGATCCTGTACAGCAGGTTCCAGTAAGCTCCCGTTTTGAAGCTAGACTGGTAGTATTTAATGTGAAGGTACCTATAACAAAAGGTTACCCGGTTCTCATACATCACCAGTCTTTAGTTGAGTCTGCTAATATTGTAAAATTAAAAGCATTATTGAATAAGAGTACTGGAGAAGTATTAAAAAAGAAGCCTCGTTGTTTAGGTAATAATTCAGTGGCTGTTGTTGATATTGAGGTATGTCGACCTATATGTATAGAAAGGTACAAAGATGTAAAAGAACTGGGACGGGTCATGCTGAGAGTTGCGGGTGTCACAATTGCAGCTGGACTCATCACAGATATTTACAACACTTGATCTAACTTTATTTCAGTCATAGATTGCCATGATATCTCATTATTTATATTTTCAATATATAGCAAATGTTTATATATAGGGACATAAAAATTATCACAATAATAATATATTAATTGCCCAAAGCTGCTGATTATATTGTACAAGAAGTAATTGCTTTATGCAACAACAATGTGTATAATAAAATATTATTTATATTGAAATAAATGTTGCTGTAGTTGTTATTTATGTTTAATTTTCTACAACTTTGTTCTCTACCTTTTTTAAGATAAATATGACGATAACGAAATAAATTGTTTCTTCACTATTTCCATAAGCAAGTTGATACCGACCATCGGAAGTATTTTACGTCTAATACTTTTAAAAATGCAAAGCTATAACGACCTCTGTCGTTAATTTTAACACTGGCATTTATACTGAAAGTAAAGACTAGTTATTGAATAGAAAAATAAACTTAATCGAGTTAACTAGTTGAACGTGAAAGTATTGGAAATAGCGAGTTGTATGAATATTAGCAGGAAATTAAATTTTACTGCGCCATCCTATTGGGAGCATACGGACTAAGGGGCACTTTAGACTTGGATTAAAAATAAATAGGTCATCGCACAATTTTCTTATAGATATTCAATTTATTTTTATGCCATACATAATAAGAAAAAATAAGATTTTTTAAGAGCTTTTATTACTAAATATTTAATAACATGTCCTTATGGATATTTCTTACGTCAGTTCCTCAAATGTAAAATTGCTTCTATCATGTGATACACGAAGCGGAAAATTTATTCTTCCACACGAATTTCTCGTATATAAGCTTTACCAAATTGCTTCGATACATTATTAAAGGAAATGGATATTCGTAATTTATACAAGAACATTGTCTTTGGTTTAAAGAAATTATTAAGCATGTACCGACAAACTATTTTACGTACTTTGTAACGCTTGTGTTCAATTCAACCGTGATTGATATCATTTAGTCTAAATCTAAATCTCTCATTTACATATGTTCGGTTCGTAAAGTTACTTGTGTCCTCAGAAACGCTTTTTACTTTCTACAATGGAAACGCACAAGTACACGATCGCGCCAGTAGCCACTGTGTCGTAAAAATGTTATATAGTAATTCAAAGTTCCTGTTTGTTTAGCTTTGAATTCAGTTTGTTATAGGTTTATTCGAGTCCGAAATGCAATGTCCAATTATAAGATGAACTTATAAAGAAGCCGATGTTCCAATTATAATAATTCAACAGTTTGGCAAGCTGCCGATTGTGAAAAATGAATAGCGCTATCGAATATTTAAATCAGTGGTGACAAGGGTCATTAATTAAAATATTCGATCGCGTTCAAGTCTATAGGTTATCTATGAATATGGTTTTCGTTAATCTTGCCCTGAGTTCAGTTTAATTTTAGTAATATTTAAGAAATGGTCCTTTTCAAAACGTTTATTTAGCATTGCAGGTTTTACATTTTATGATTTCTTCAACATAAGAAGAATTCATAAACATTTGTATTAAATTTATTTAAATATTGTACTATATTACCTGTTATAATACATAGGATCAGTATAATGATGGAATAAGCCGCGCCACTGAACGCCTGAGAAGCTAAGAGCCTCCGCAGAAGTCGTAGGGTTCATTAAAACGCGTTAGTACCTAAGTTCAGAATACAGTTTTTCTGTTTTCTACAATCAAACGCGTACTTGTTGCGTGCTCATGAATCTTTATTATTTAGAAATAGTAATAAGTAAGTTTTCGAAACAATTCATTCAATACGTCTTTAAATTAATTGTCATATTTCTACTATTGTTATCTTTTAGCTGTATGTCTACTATACAGATAAATATATAAAGTTACACTAGTCTTAGTAATACTAATTTTAGTTTAATTCTAGTTAATATCATGCTAAGAGGTTAGTTGAAAGGTGATTTAGTTCTTATAGTAGGAGGTGAGGTTGTTTGTTTGCAATCAGTTACCGGCTGCGTGAGATTGCCTCCTTATTCCTCCGTCACAAGCGCAGTAATGAACTCTCGCTGTGACTGATTAAAGCTACGTCTAACGACTGCATTGCACAGCATTTCACCTCGCGATACCGGCGCGAAAAACAATCGGAACGTTCGTTTTATATATTCTACTAGCTTTCGCCCGAGACACCGCCTGCGTGAAATAAAAAAAAACAAAAGTGAGTTGCCTATGTGTACTTCCAGACTATCCGCTACGTCTATGTCAAATTTCATCAAGATCCGTTCAGCCGTTTAGCTACGAACTATAACAAACAGGCCGTTGTTGAGGCCGTTTCGTAAGTATTTTTAGAGACGCAACTATTTTGTTGAATCATACTAGAAATAATGTGACTTCAAATTCAAAGCAAGAGCAGAGAATAAATTTCTTTAAGAGCATTGCGCTGTCGCGGAGCAAGTTACAGCCGAGTTCTAATTGGTCAAGTAAACTTGCCTTACTTAACAGGTAGTACTTAGCAGACGAGCGGTGGTGGCCTTTGTGTTGTTAATTAATTGCTGGGAAAACTTTGTCGACGGAAACTATAAAGTTAAGTTGTACTTTGAGACTTATAAATGTATGGCAAAAATATTGTTTTATTCACATGATTGAATATAAACGAATTTTATAAGCATTCTTCCAAGTTTTTTAAGTAGCCAGGTTAGATCCTAGAAAGGGGTAGGCACTACCAATAATATAAGTAGTAGGTTTTTGTCTATTTAACACTTTTTGAGTTTCCAGAGGCCAGCTTACCCCCTGCCTCTCCCTGGTGACACCCCTGGTAGGTAGTCCATACTAATTCCATAGTGATTTTATGAACATCAGGATTATATAGGTGTAAATTTGCCTTTGATAGAACTCAATATATTATGAAGTAAATCTAGTTTGAGTGAGTTCACACAATCTAAGTTGTCCCCGATGACCCTATTTGTAGTTTGTAGTTCGTCTAAAGTTTAGAATAGAGTAGAGCGAGCGAGGTGTGGTATTTTAATAAGGTTATATTACTTCTGTGACAAACATTATTCTATGAATTTATACGAGTAATGAAATATAGATTTGATTTACTTTAATGTATAGTTTTAACTCTACCAATTTTTAAGAGTGTACGACTTTGTCGTCAGTTGTTTTGTCGTGAGTTTCAGCTACTTAGTTCAAAGTTACGTTAGGGGAGTAACGGTTTACGGCTGCTTTGACGGCGAGGCAACATTAAAGGGAATAATACAAAAAGAGTGAGACTTACCCGCGCTGTGTTCAGCTAAAGGGAATATTAACGAGCCGTTTACCTCCGCATGCGTCCTTTGCCTTATGAACTTTTTAAATGGTGCGTTTTCAGCCCTCTTTGTTTTGAAACCCGGAGGCAAAATAACACGATGTGCGACTTGTATTTGTATTCTCTTGTATTATAATGTTTCTTTTATTTTAAAAAGGCAATAGTTACTATGGATTATCTTGCCTATCATACTAAAATTATAAATTCGAAAGTTTAGATGGATGGATAGATGTTTGTTAGAGTTTCTAGCCTAAACGGCTGGACGGATTTCGATGAAATTTGGTATAGATGTAAAGGATAGTCTGGAAGAACACATAGGATTTTTTTTAATTCCACGCGGTCGGAGTCGCGGGTGAAAACTATTTACTTTTATAATTCACCCATTCGTAGTTCAAATTAAATAAGAAAGGACATACTGGTTTGATAAAAAAATAAATAGTAGTAACGCGACAGTTTATTACACTAAATAAAACTTTATTCAGCTAATGCGGTCTAAACTTCAATAGCTCAGAGTAAAATTGCGAGTTATAGACAAAGGAGCAAATTAGTACCAACAGTTACTAAAAGCCACGCTAGTTTTTGAAAGCACAAAAGATTGACGCCAACACGGGCGGGTGTGAAAGCCTACACTCGCATTACCTCAGTAGTTATTTTTACAGTTCTTCCAGCGACACGAAATGAAAATGTTCCTCCGAAATACACCATTTTCAGGAGGAAATGTTGAAAGGAAAAATGTGTAAAACTATGAAATATTGTAGCTAGAATTATTTTTTGTGATATAAATATCGTGTAACAAAATGTGCAAAATAAAAAGAGGTATGAGATATATTTATACGTTATTGTTCATGAATTGTGTAGTTTTTAAATCTTTGCATATATTTTTAATGGCGGGATTTTATATTATTTTTTTTTATTTCAGACAAATTTGAAGAAAACTTGCTATGTAGCAATTATATGCATTATAAGTTAATTTCAATTTGATAGCTTTAGAATAAAAGATGTCTTAATCATATTTATAATAAAGACCGTCGACGGGACCTACATACGATAGTAATTCGTTTTTTTTTTTCAACTGGATGCTTTTAATATAAATTGTAAGCTAACAAGCAATAATAATAGATGTTCTAAAACATCGTACTTGTTCAAATGATTTAATAAAACATTTTTAATTAGTGCCAGCGACGGACTCCATTATTATAAGAATCTTACGTATTCCTGCAATTACAGAAAACAATGTATGAACTACATAATGGGAACACCATAATAAAGCTCTACTTGTAATATCCTGCTATTATACAGAGGTTACGAAAGCTCTATTTTTTTAATTAACATATTTTTAATATTTATCTTAGAACAATGAGTTTTGAAAGTCTTCTTACAAAGGATGTTTAATGCTAAACTTTGAACTCGACGCCTTTGAACCGGTGCCGCTTGAACCCGTTTTCCAGTAATTGACACGTTTGTGAGCGCTCTAGTTTCGAACTGCACCCTGTTTATTCAGCCAGCATGCCTGTAGGTGCGACTGACAATTTAGTCGTTATTAATGTAGATTACATAACATTGTTTCCAGTGCTTTAATGGAAAAGTTGTGCGATTAAGTATATACAAAATCCATTACCAGATGCAAGTCTTTCTTTTTTGTATAGGAGTTACATATTTTTTCATTAATAAAATAAATAAATAATTTCATGCAATACGAACAGAATAGCAATACAATTCCAATTTTGAGTAAAGGAATATGAGGCACTTATTGTACATAACATTTTTTATTTGCTATTTTTATGCCTTAAAATTAATTAGGAAAATTGTAAAAAATTGTTATTGAAACATATACAGTTAACATATGCAGAATGGTACGAAAAACTGTTAACCGTTACCGAAAAAAATCGTTCTTTTGTGTGAAACTTAATAGCATTGGAAGCAAGACAGATGGGCAATTTGTCTCTGCTAACTACAACAGTTTAT